AAAGTTCTGAACACTAAAGACAAGGAAGGAGCAGTGGGGGGCACTGAGGAACAGACCCTTCGAAGGACGATGAACTTGTCTCCGGCAGCCAAGGAGGCAACATGGAAGCGGTGCTTTTTTTCAAGGTCTGAAAGAAAGAGCTGTGGGCGGCAAATGCTGTGACCCGCTGAAATACTGTTTTTGAAGACAGAAACCAGGTCATTCTCAGATGACTGAAAACTACAAGAGTGTATTCTCAGCATTTCTATCCTGAAAGAGTGTCTAAGAGAGTGCTCTATTAGAAAGGAAGCATCAAAGAAAGAATTTAGGGACGTCGGGGAGGAAGGACACAATGAGATATGAGTCAGTACAAACGATAGTTTAAACAGTAAGGTTGAGAGCAAGTGAGATTGAAAGAAAATAATCCAGTCCTAAGAACCTGGGTCCAGGCTTTTCTTCTAAGAGCATTGTCTCCAACTTCCCTTCTTGGCAGTTGAAGAAAAAATCATAAAAGTCTCTGAAGTGGCTCTTAGTCATGCAGAAGGAAAAATCTAAGCAATTATGAATAGCTAGTAATAGAAGATGTGAAGATATAAGATTTCTACATTTCACAAGAGCTACTAACAATACTAATAATTAAGATATATTATTCACATATAATGTAATAGACCAATCACTATAAAAATCTTTGTATTGATATATACTAAAAAATTGTAAATCAAATCAAAATGTAACTCTAAATTCATCCAATTAACTCACAGGAAGGAAAAACTAATTTTTTAAAATTGAACAAAGAGAAAACAAAACAAATGAAATTGACATACTTAATTCTTAACATAGAAATACACTGAATGTAAGTGATCTAAGAATACCAAGTAAATGGCAGAGATTGATAAAGTGAATGACATTACATGACCCAATGTTATATTATTTAAAAATATTTTCGGGCGGTGGTGGCGCACGCCTTTAATCCCAGCACTCGGGAGGCAGAGCCAGGAGGATCTCTGTGAGTTCGAGGCCAGCCTGGGCTACCAAGTGAGTTCCAGGAGAGGCGCAAAGCTACACAGAGAAACCCTGTCTCGAAAAACCAAAAAAAAAAAAAAAAAAAAAAAAAAAAAAAAAAAAAAAAAATATTTTCAAATATATTGAAAGTTTAAGGAAAGGATAATGATAACATGAACTAAATGCTAATTAAGAGAATTTTAATTAGCTTTCTTAAGAGAGGTACCCCCCCACCTGTGCTCTAATATATATCTTACTTTTTCCAGAGCACCTGTCTTTCTCCTAACTCTGGTGCTTAATGTTAAAATATCTTTAGTATCCCAATTCTACTTATAAGAAAAAAATGACATGGCTGTAATAATGTTAAATGAGGTAAACTTCAAAGAAAATTTTCCAGAGGCAGAGAGGATCATTGCATCATGAAACAGAAGTCAGTCTAGAAACATCCACACTAAAAATGGTCATTCTACCAAGAAGTCATAGGGTCCTCAGTGTGTGTACATATCAGAATAGAGTAGGCCACATGTGTGAAACAAGCATTCATCGATATGCAGAGCATTCGACAAACCCAGTTTAGGTTGGAGACACTCCTCTTTCAACAACCTATAAAACAACTGTCAGGAGAACAAGAGTACAGAGAAACGCAACAACTTTATCAGGAAATAGGCCAAGCTGGTAGGTTTTGCTCTCTTGACACAAGCCTAAGCATTTCTGGGGAGAGGAGTTTCTTCCATCAGCTTGTCTGTAGGCAGATCTGTAGGGCCTTTTATTGATTAATGCTTGACGTGAGTAGGTTCAGCCCACTGTAGGCAATGCCGCCCTGGGCAAGTGGTCCTGGGTTGTATAAGAAAGCAGACTGAGCAAGCCATGGAAATAAAAGCAGCAAGCAGCACTCCTCTATGCCTTCTGCTCCAGCTCCTGCCTCCAACTGTAAGCTGACATAAAGCCTTTTGTGCCAAACTTGATTTGGGTCATGGTGTTTATCACAGCAATAGAAGTCTAATTAGGACAGGCCCTAATCAAAATATCTAGAACACCCTAAATAGTAACAGAGAATACATATGTATTATGAATGGCTACATATTAACTCATGTTCTGGGTCATAAGTTGTTGTTGAACTTAAAAACCTGAAGTCATCCAAATACATCTAGATAACACACAGGAATCCAGGGAAGTTTTGAAATCATTAGACTATGTGAAAATGATGTGCTGTCTAACAGACTTGTACGCTCTCACTCCGAGTGCTGAGAAAGCTCCAGCAGTGCAGGCCGACATTGAAAAAGAGGGGAAATCTCCAATAAATCATCTAAGCTCTCATTAAAAGAAAGAAAGATAATTGCAAATCAAGTAGGAAAAGCGGAAATAAACACAAATGAAAGTGAAAACACACACTATAAAGTAAACACGGAGGCAAAGAATGAGTCTCTATAGAGAGACAGTAAACATCTATATACTGACAACGAAAGACACACAAATTGCCAAGTATCAGAAATGAATTATGGATGTTATTACATATCCTTCAAACATGAGAAACATGCTATCAGATCATTTTGATAATCTAGGTGAAATGGGCAAATCCCTCAAAAATATGAGCCACCATAATTCACCCAATAGGCAACATGATTTGAATAGCTGGGTAACTTGAGGAAATAGGATTTATATTTCCCAGATCTCAAACCTCTGTTATCAAAGATGACAAAAGAAAAATCATACAAGCATATTAATTGATGTTGGAAAAATTTCCACATTTGGGAAAAAACCACATGGCATTCATCCATAATTTAAAAACCTTGGGAGAAAGAAAGTGGGAGGAGGGTAGGGAAACTCTCTACTTGGTAATGACCACTTACAAAACTGCATAGCTTTAGTTATGCTAGCCCCAAAAAGGAGATGGCCCAGATATGTTTAATGGTGAATAAATATTTAACAAACTGTAATGTATCCATGGCACAGAATACTCTCTAATATTAGAAAGTATTGAAGCATTTTGAAAAACATGTATGCGAATCTCCAGAAATTATGGATGTTATTACATATCCTTTTGTCTGGGTGGGGAGTCAGTCCCAAGGGGTTTTGCACTGTATGATTCTTGGAATAACCAAATTCAGGAAATAAGAAGATAAGTTGCTGCCAAGAGATAACAAATTGGGACTGGGACTGATGCAGAAGGGTCTGGCTATCTAAGGAAAAGGGGATCCTGTGATCATCTAGACCGTTGTCAGGAGCCTAATTGTGATATGGTCTCATAGCTTCTCAGTCTATATCACTGCAGGGAAACTGAATAAAGATCACATGGGGTTTATGTAACATTTCCTCCAAGTGCATGGGGATCTACAATTATCTTCAGAAAAAGTCAAAGAAGAGAAATAAAATCAAGTAAAGGAGATATATGCTGCCCACTCATCTAAAGACACTAATAACAATATACACATCCATCCATACACTCTATCAATTCCCGGGCACCACAGCACTGTCACTCTCAATAAATGTGTTTGTGCTTTCATGACACCTTACTTTGGCCAAGTTTTCTCTTTTTAGATTTTAGTCTATCACTTTTTCTGATGATGTTAAAATGGTGTCATGTTGGTACATGATAATCTTTTTTTTAAGTAATTTTAGCCAAAAAAAAAAAATTTAGTCCTCAGTCAATTCATAAATGTAATACTTGGTGAGGTACTAAAGTGCATCTCAGCTCAGGGATCTCAGCTATGTAGCTCTGGTGACATCAACAAGATAAACAATGTCTTCCATAGCCAGCTCATAGCTCAGAAACCTCATATGGGGAGTCAGCGCTCTGTAAGACTGCCTCCTAAACTCTAACAAGTGTGTGTCTTCCATTTCAGCATCCTGTTACATTCCTATTTCTTAATATCCCACAATTCAAAATGCTGCCTTTCATATATGGACTAGAGACAATGTATTCATCCTACATTTTGTATGTACTTTATGACATTATTGCAGATGTTAATATATGTCTTAAAATTGAAGTTTTAACAGAAACATTATAAATTAATATGACAAAAAATAAAGCTAAATTATTTGTCAATTTGTCCTTATTGTTAGGGAAAAATCATGATTCTCTTAAACTAGTATATGAAAGGACTGGTAGTTAACCTTTTTTTATAGCTAGTAAGAAGGACAAACATGTTTTGTCTGTCTATACTGTAACAGTTCAGTAGACTGCAGTTTTATAAATAGGTTATTTAACATTCAGTTTTATAACTTAGTGGGTTAGTTCAGATATAGATAATAAAGCTTTAAAAGATAACACTCAGCGTGAATAATTCTACAGAAAGCATTTCCTTTTTAATGAAGACTGCAGTTTGAGAAGAGAGACTTTCTCATACAATTTATTCTAATATTGTTTCCTTGTGAACTGAGATTACTAAATGATATATATATATATACACATATACATATATACATATACATATGATGCATTTAGTAATATATATATACCGTATATATAAATATATATACCATATATATAGTAGGTCACCTTTCTTCTTTATAAACTCCCTAATGCACTGTTCATTTTATATCATAGTCTATAGTTTTGTTGTTAATATTTATAATAACATAGGCCATCATTTTACATAGAGAGAGAGACAGAGACAGAAACAGAGACAGAGACTTCAAAGGAAATGTTTTAAATGTGTTGTTTCATGATCCTCCAACAACATATATCAGACATGAGTGTCACAATTATTATAGATGTAACCATTTTTAACACTCTAACTCTGTTGAATGTTCCTTAAAGTCTGGTTTCCCTTCCTCACACAATGACATTTAAAGTGGCCTTTTATAGCCATGTTTTCTCAAGTAGCTTGAAACAAACTAGCCCCTGAATATGTTTGTGTTAACAGGGAGATTTCTGTTGTCCCTGGTTAAGCAGTTTGGACTTTATTTCAAGCATATTTCCTGCAAAGTTTTTTTGGGTTTTTTTTGTTTGTTTGTTTTGTTTTGTTGTTTTTAAGCCTGTTTTAAAAGCTAAAGAGTATTTTTTTCCCCTCTTCAAGGTGCGGGGCCCTCCAGCTGCAGGGGCATTTAAAGAAAGGCCAACCAAGCCCACCGCATTCCGAAAATTTTATGAGCGTGGAGACTTCCCAATCGCCCTTGAGCATGACTCAAAAGGAAACAAAATTGCCTGGAAGGTAAGTCTGGGCACAGCTGTGACAGCCAGCTGCGCTTGCGGGAGTGACACCCCAATGCCAAACAAACTTGGCTGCTAAGTAAATAAACGGGAGTAATTTCTCAGCAAAGGAGCGGTGGTGGGCGAGCTCTTAGGGCCCCTGTGTCAGCCGTCCACCTTGACTAACAATTAAATTATAGCCCTCAAAGAAGAAAATGACAGAGTTGCTTCGCCTTAGAGAATTGTCTGCAGCCCAATTCATCTCTATTTTTATGAGAGTCTGGCAACCCGGCCTGTTTCCAGCAGTCCATCAAATGATGGACCTGGCGGCTGGATGCAGAGAGCAACAGCCATTTATCTCCCCCAGATTTCACCTTCCTGCAGGACACTTCCAAATGGAAGCTTTAATTACCTAAATGGATAGGTCAGGGCTGTGCGCTCCCCGGGAATGCAGAGTGGAATACACAAGAAGGTGGCTCCTCTCTCCCGGCTCCGCGCTACCATCGGCTGGGACAGGGCTGTCATCCTTGCCTGTTAGTGGCTGACCTCGGCCAGCCAAGCCATTACAGCACGGACACTTTCCCGACAAAAGGTTAATTGGCTTCAACATAAATGTATTGCCTAACGACGCCATCTTAATGTGGCCGTGCCTCTTTTCCAAAGGTTTGCCGATGTGACTGGTGAAAACAAGTCAGTCTAACGGAGAAGGCTTTTACATTTAATTGAGGAATGGATGCTATCTCTAACCAATTCTGCTATTTAATTATTTCTGTTATGAACGACTCTGCTTTGGGGGATATTTATCAGCTGAATAATAAGGGCTCCGCTGCCTCAGCCAGCAAAGCTGGGGCAGGAGCCGGAGTACCACACCAGGTTAAGGAAGACAAAGGGTTCGCACCAAACATCCTCAATTATGGGAAGCAGCTGACGAGGAGCTGAAGAAGTCAGTGTCGGTGTCTTTGTCTGGAGGGGAATGTGAGAGCTGTCTATAATTATGAACTGATAAATTAACACGAAAACCCAAAACTGTTGAATTAAAGAATTTATCAGGCAAATAGCTGGTGAAGGTGAATTAAACTTACCCTTTCCCCTCCCAAACAGCAAGGTGGAGAGAACTTGTATGCATTTTATCTAGTGTGTCTTTAAAATCATTTTTTCTATCATTAGCAAGCACCTCTAGGTTTTGAGCAGTCATCTGAACTTAGATGTGTTAGCAATGATAAAAACGAAAACATGGCGTTGTCTTTATTACTAAGCTTTGCTGTAAACTTGTAGTGAGGGAGGGTGAGGAGCTTTATTTCCCCTTGATCCTTCACCAATTGAATAGGGAGGGTATGTGCTCTGTGAACTTGTAGGGGCTGTGAAGAAAGATGTTTAACAAGCACACCTACTCTGGGTATGTTACCTCAGCCTCGATCTGCATTCCCAACATACACCATGGGTTTGGGCCCATTTATATATGATTCAGCACATGGATTTTGTGTTTGATTATCTGTGATCTGGTTCTTATAAAGAAACAGGAAGTTTCTCAAAATCTTAACTAATGCTGTTAGGATTTTCTAATAATTTATAAGTAAATGATTTAGGATATTTTAAATAATTGCAACCTACCACATAAATTACATTCATGGAAATTTGTCGTAATATAGATTTATTTTGATCTCATCCAATCATGTAACTCTAGAGGTATTGAGGTTAGAAAAATTACCTTGAAAATAAATTAAGAAATAACTAATAAGGAGGTAAATGCTTTTACTTCGTGTTTGCGAATCTGACATTCAATAGTGGTAAGTACAGCCTTTCTTTCTGGGAATTAATTTGTTGGGACGACTATTGATTATAGGACTGATTGAGTAAGCCAAAAGGCAATGACAAGAGAGAAATGATTTTTTTTACTGGCCCCGGCTGTGTATTATGTAAGTTTGAGAAGAGTCTCACCCCAGAATCCGTGGAGGTCTGTCTTTCAGGACTTTACTGCTGTATTACAGCATGGCTGTGACATCAGAACAGACATGGTGGTGTTAAGCTTGTGGATACTCTCATTGTGTTCATATTATTCCTTGATGTGTTTCCTGTGGGCACAAGCTGGTGCTAATTAGGAGCAGGGGAGGTACTCAGAGTATCCTCCCTAAGGATGGGGCCTTTGGTACTGAAGGAAAAGAACAAAAACCCCATTTTTCTATTTATGGACAGAAAACAGGTCCCCATGGTGCAAACGCCTATTCTTAACCCACAGTACCTTCCTCACTGCAGACTGTCCAGGGATAAAATTTCCCCAAGAAGTAATAGGCCTTTCTCAATACTCCTTGAGACAGTTGGGGGCTCCATGGGCATTTCTGAGTGCCCCGAGAGTGTGTCCAATTAAGTCATAAAAATTCCAAAAGCCCTGTGGCTTGAAATACTTAGCACTCACTGCCAATAAGCTGTGCTAAGCCTGTTCCCTCATTCAGCCTGGCAGTTCCACTCTGTCAGGGTACAGGGATGTCCGCCCAAGTCATCAAATCACCTTTTCCTTGTTCAAGATTAGCTGAACCAGCCTTGAAAAGGCAAAGGCAGCTGTGGAGTCCCCTCCTAAACTAATGCAGTCAGAGGCTGGAAACTGGAGCTGGGCAAGTACCACTTCCCGGTCCCCATCTTGACCTGATGGAAGGGTTTAGTGGACATGGAGATGCTCATCTGCCCCACATGCCGAAACAATACAGCAGGCTGACACCTTTGGCTGTCCACCTGAGTCCGTTCTTTACAGAATGTCTAAAGGTCAGCGTCCAGCACAACTATCTGTGACTGTGGGAGCATGGCACATTTGCACTCTACTGAGGCACAGCTGGCCGTATGTGGCCATTAAGCTTCGTAAATACACCTACTGAGACTGAGAAACTGAATTTTTAATTTTATTTCATTTTAATTAATTTTTATTTAAGTCAGCGCATGGTTAACACATTCAGCTGAAGAACTCTAGATTAAAACCTGGCTATGAGACGTAAAGGCTGGATCTGTTCCTCGGAAAAATGATAGCTACATTGAATTATTATTGAGAATGAAAAGGCAGGATATATCTGTGTGTTTGTGTGTGTGTGTGTGTGTGTGTGTGTGTGTGTGTGTGTGTGTGTGTAACTATCTTAATAAACATGAGAGAAGCTTTAGGAAATATATATAGCAGACATTTCTATATTCTTGCCCATTGCCAGTTCATTACCTCTGAAAGATGACTAGCTCTGGTCTAGAATATGAAGCTTCCCAACCAAGCTCTGGAATCCTTTTAAATATGTGACTATGCATTTTTTAAACATGTCTAGGCAACTCTTGTTACCAGTTATTAGAGCCATGCAGAAGCACGGTGGTAGCTTTTTCTTTGTTTCTCTTGATACTGTTAGTGAGGAAATGGGCTCTTTATTTCGTGGCTGATATCTTCAACATAAACATTGTGAGCACAGAAAAGAGCCAGGTGGTCTAGATAAGGTACAGTTCAGATACTAGCATGGACGATAGAAATTTAAAACTTGTATTTGAGTTTTCTCATGGTGATTTTCATTCTTCAGTTTCTTGTACTAATATAATATGAATCACAGGACAGTGCTTGGGGTGGGGTAGGTGGGGCTCTACCTGAAGGTCCCATGTGGACGTTCTGGAGACAGAAGAACTGTTGGAGAAGCTTCAAAATGCACAACGTGCCCCCTCCACCTACGCTGCCAAGGAGGAGTGAAGCCCTGAACACATGGAGAAGGCAGCCTGTGGTGGAGAGGGGTTAGACTAGATACTGAAGCCTGGGTTGTAGAAGGAATTATAGGGAAGTTAGCATAGCTCTCTGGGCATTGTCCCCTCAACTTCTGCCTCAAGGGGCCTTCCATCTTCCATCAACTAGTGTGAGACCCGGTGTGCCCCCGACCGTTTTCCCTCAACTTGCTCTTCTCTGCGGCGGCGTCTTCTTTTTCCTCCCCTTCCTCTCCCTTCCCACTCCCTTTTCTCTCCTTCCTCCTCCTTACAGGTTTCACTTTCTAGAATCCATGTTCTCTCCAAGAGCTTTTCCAAAGCTGACTGAAATCTGAGGTCATATGGAGGTCACCTGAATAAACTTGAAATAAAATTCATTTCTTGTATACTCAGTAGCCAATAGAAATATTATTAATCTTAAAGGGCTCTATGAAATTCATTACTTTACATCTTTGGATTCCAAACTACTGTTTTGTTTAGTATCTGAACATTAATTCTTTAAAAAGCGATCACTTCAATAGAGACCTTGGGTGAAAGAGTTGGGAAAAATATTATAAGCACATTAGCTCTAACCACTCATTTTAAAGATGAAAAGAGCTACAGATATTCCGAAGCATCTCTAAATCCTCTCATTTTATAGGCACTTTGATAAAGTAGTTGTGAATTCAGTTCACCTCTGTCAGTACGTGACACTTTGCTATGTGAGAATGTATGACATGCACTATGAAGTTTGTTCTGTACTAAATTTCTAAATGTATCAACTTAAGGATGCCTCATATATTATATGGATTTGACTAAGAAATAGACATCCTGTAGCCTTATGTGCAAATTATATAATGCAGCAAAATCACAAACCTTTCACATGGCCACAGAAGGAGAGACACCAACACAGACTTGTGTTTTGCCTCAGGGTCCCACTTTTAGCACCTTCGAGTTTCCCAGGTGACAGTATCAAGGAGGTTCTTGTCCAGAGAAGCAAGCTGACAGTGGCATTTGTATGCCTGCTCCTCCCACTTTATTTAATGTGTAAATAGTTTTCAGTAGTCATTTATATTCAGTAGACCAGATACAAGCAAGTACAAGTTAGAATGGATCTTCATATCCTCTACTTGGCGATATCAAAATCTTGCCATGAAAGGATTCATTCCTCAAGGTGAGTGTGTTAATTATATGGCTACCTACTGATTAAATTTTGCTCTTGAGACCTTTTTCTCTATAAAAAATATTATCTTAATATTAATCAAATCAAAGGAGTATTATTAATACTTTTTAATCAATGAGTGTTTATCTAAATAATATGTATACCCCACC